GATATTTTCCTGGTGGGATTCTGCTCTAGGTGTGTAACATTTCCCCAATGCATTGTCATTCTTTCCACCTGATTTTTAGCTGTGAGCCCCATTCCAGTATAGAATCATAGAATCATAGAATCATAGAGTTGGAAGAGACCACAAGGGCCATCGAGTCCAACCCCCTGCCAAGCAGGAAACACCATCAGAGCACTCCTGACATATGGTTGTCAAGCCTCTGCTTAAAGACCTCCAAAGAAGGAGACTCCACCACACTCCTTGGCAGCAAATTCCACTGTCGAACAGCTCTTACTGTCAGGAAGTTCTTCCTAATGTTTAGGTGGAATCTTCTTTCTTGTAGTTTGGATCCATTGCTCCGTGTCCGCTTCTCTGGAGCAACAGAAAACAACCTTTCTCCCTCCTCTATGTGACATCCTTTAAATATTTGAACATGGCTATCATATCACCCCTTAACCTCTTCTTCTCCAGGCTAAACATGCCCAGCTCCCTTAGCCGTTCCTCATAAGGCATTGTTTCCAGGCCTTTGACCATTTTGGTTGCCCTCCTCTGGACACGTTCCAGTTTGTCAGTGTCCTTCTTGAACTGTGGTGCCCAGAACTGGACACAGTTCTCCAGGTGAGGTCTGACCAGAGCAGAATACAGTGGCACTATTACTTCCCTTGATCCAGATGCTATACTCCTATTGATGCAGGCCCAGAATTGCATTGGCTTTTTAGCTGCCGCGTCACACTGTTGGCTCATGTCAAGTTTGTGGTCAACCAAGACTCCTAGATCCTTTTCACATGTACTGCTCTCAAGCCAGGTGTCCCCCATCTTGTATTTGTGCCTCTCATTTTTTTGCCCAAGTGCAATACTTTACATTTCTCCCTGTTAAAATTCATCTTGTTTGTTTTTGCCCAGTTCTCTAATCTGTCAAGGTCGTTTTGAAGTGTGATCCTGTCCTCTGGGGTGTTAGCCACCCCTCCCAGTTTGGTGTCATCTGCAAATTTGATCAGGATGCCCTTGAGTCCATCATCCAAGTCGTTGATAAAGATGATGAATAAGACCGGGCCCAAGACAGAACCCTGTGGCACCCCACTAGTCACTCTTCTCCAGGATGAAGAGGAACCATTGATGAGCACCCTTTGGGTTTGGTCAGTCAGCCAGTTACAAATCCACTGAGTGGTAGCATAGTCAAGACTGCATTTTACCAGCTTCTTTACAAGAATATCATGGGGCACCTTGTCAAATGCCTTGCTGAAATCAAGGTAGGCTACATCCACTGCTTTCCCTTCATCTACCAGGTTTGTAATTCTGTCAAAAAACGAGATCAGGTTAGTCTGACATGACTTATTTTTCAGAAATCCATGCTGACGATTGGTGATCACAGCATTCCTTTCTAGGTGCTCACAGACTGTTTGCTTAATGATCTGCTCCAGAATCTTCCCTGGTATTGATGTCAGACTGACTGGGCGGTAATTATTTGGGTCCTCTCTTTTCCCCTTTTTGAAAATAGGGACAACATTTGCCCTCCTCCAGTCTGCCGGGACTTCGCCTGTTCTTCAGGAATTCTCAAAGATGACTGCCAGTGGTTCTGAGGTCACATCTGCCAGTTCTTTTAATACTCTTGGATGCCCTGGCCCTGGATGACTTGAATACATCTAAAGTAGCCAAGTATTCTTGTACTATCCCCTTAGTTATTCTGGGCTGTGTTTCCTTTGCTGAATCATTTGCTTCAAATTCTTCAGGTCGGGCATTGTTTTCTTTATCGGAGAAGACTGAGGCAAAGAAGGCATTGAGGAGTTCAGCCCTTTCTGTGTCCCCTGTTTGCATTTCACCATCTTCTCCTCTGAGTGACCCCACTGTTTCTTTGTTCTTCCTTTTGCTATGAACATACCCATAAAAGCCTTTTTTGTTGCTTTTAACCTCTCTAGCAAGCCTGAGTTCATTCTGTGCTTTAGCTTTTCTGACTTTGTGTCTACACGTGCTGGCTATTTGTTTGAATTCCTCTTTGGTGGTTTCCCCTTTTCCATTTTTGTGCACATCCTTTTTAATCTTAACTCAGTTAAAAGTTCTTTAGATAGCCACCCTGGCTTCTTTAGGCACCTTCCATGTTTCCGTCTCATTGGTATTGCCTGACGTTGTGCTTTTACTATCTCCCTCTTAACAAACTCCCAGCCATCATGAACTCCCTTTCCTTTTAGTATTACTGTCCATGGGATCTCACCCAGCACTTCCCTAAGTTTTATGAAGTCGGATTTCTTAAAGTCAAGAAATTGAGTCCTAGTATGCTTGGCTGCTCCTTTCCGCTGTATAGTAAACTTCAGAAGAGCATGATCACTCGTGCCTAATGATCCTTCCACTTCTACCCCACTAACCAGGTCATCAACATTGGTTAGGACCAGATCTAAAATGGCTGTTCCTCTTGTTGCTTCTCCCACTTTCTGGACAATGAAGTTGTCTGCAAGGCCAGTGAGGAATCTGTTTGACCTTATGCTCTTGGCTGAGTTTGACATCCAACAAATATCCGGGTAATTGAAGTCCCCATTACTACTATCTCCCTTCCTTTTGCATGCTTGGCCATCTGTTCCAGGAAGGCATCATCTATGTCCTCCGTTTGGCTTGGGGATCTATAGTAAACTCCCACAATGAGGTCACTGTTATTCTTCTCTCCCTTAATTTTGACCCAAATGCTCTCACTTTGGCTTTGAGGTTCTAAATCTTGGATCTCTTCACAGGTATACACAGGTATGGTCTGCAGGCGCTCAGATCTAGCCAACAGAAAGGCTTATTTACGGTGTGAACAGGCTTTTTCTATTCTGTTTAAGCAGCATTCCAACTAACACAGATTGATGAGGCATTATGAGGAAATGCTTTAGCTCTTGGCCGCAGCTAAATTGTCTTAACACAGGCATCTCCTTGCAATTAAGGAGAATTAATGTCTGTGTTGTGCAGTGGTCATTGCCATCTGAGTATCATAGGCTTACACTGTATCCTGGCAGAAGCCACCAGATCAACTTATTTCTGTGAAGAAACCACACTTAAGTGAAATGGGATGTGAAATAAGCTATAGTTGAAGTCTCTTGTTACCGTATTCCTTTGTTCTTATTTTGTTTTTGTTATGTACTGAGTTGAATAGGATCCAAACTGCAGCAGTCTGATTGGTCCTAGAACAATAGGATTCAGAATGCAGCAGTCTGATTGGTCCTAGAACAATGCAGCAGTATGATTGGTTGGCAGGAACCACCCAATCATGCTCCAGATATAAGTGAATCCACAACCTGATTGGCTTACAGTAGAATTCCAGAATTAGCCAATCATGTGCAGCCCATTGTGTAAATAATGTATATAAAGCAGATACTTTGAGGGCACTTTCATTCATTCCTCCTCACCACTATGAGCTGAATAATGAGCATGAAATCACTTTGCGACTCTGAGTATATTTCAGTTTTGAATACTGAAACCTGTAATGATCCATTTCCAGTGTTTGCCGCTTAATATTAGCACATGTAAAACAATGACACAGACCCTTGTTAGACCCTGGAATCCTAACAGGTCAGAATCCATGTTTGGGTATTTATGAATAGCATGTGCCCTTTGGGCAGTGTTGGAGATTATGGAAGAAAGCCAGGAAATGTGGTGTTGGGAGAAATCTTCAGCTGTAACAAAAGGGCCTAAGTCGTAAGTTTTCCTAATGTTGGGATGAGATGCAACTGTGTGTCACAAGGCAGAGTAGCTGCTGCCTCACCTGAATCCCTGAAAAAAAACCCCACTCTGCAACTCTACAGTGTCCTTTTTGAGGTGAGGTGACTACAACTGTACACAGTATGTCTTCATAGGGGCGTCGATCCAACCCCTTGATCAACCTATGAAGACAGGTTGCCATGTGGAGTAGTGAGCTGCACATGAACTACTGTTGGAAAAGGAAAGGACCACCAAAATGACCAAGGTTGCAGTGTTTGGGACTGTTCAGTTTAGAAAAAGGGTGAGTAAGTGGCAACATGATAGGAGTTTATAAAATTATGCATGGCATGGAGATAACACTAGAACTCATGGACATTCAACGAAGCTGAATTTTGGAAGAGTCATAGAATCAAAGAACAATAGAACTGGAAAGGACCACAATAAAATAAAGTACTTCTCCACACAGTACATAGTTAAACTTTGGAACTTGCTGCCACAGGAGATAGCGATAGCCACCAACCTAGATGACTTTAAAGGAGGATTAGACAAATTCTTGGAGAAGAGGGTGATCAATGGCTCTGCTCTGTCTCCATACTTGGCGGCAGCAGTGCTTCTGAATACCAGCCGTTGGGAACCATAGGAGGGGAGAGGGCTCTCTTTCCCTCTGTCCCTTCTTGCAGGTTTCCCACAGGCATCTAGTTAGCCAGTGTGAGAACGGGATGCTGGACTAGATGGGCCACAGGACTCAGTCAGCAGGCTCTTCTTAGTCTAATTAAATCTGAAGAACTAAAGGTGGAAAAATCAGCTCACTCTACTTATTAGAAATAATAATTTTTAAACAAAATAGAATAAATAATTTGATATAGTGTTCATAATTTATTCTATATTTTATTATTTTATTATCTTACGATGGTTTTATGATTTTATTGTATGCCACTGTGATATTTTTCTAACAATTGGTGGCTTATAAATATTCAGATAAGTAAAAAAAAATATAAATAAAACATATAGCCGTCCAACTGCTTTCAGGGTCTTCTTAAATGCAGTTATTTTTCTCTAGTTCAAAAAGTATTTTTTTTTTTTGTCCAAAGATTCTGGGGTTTGGAGCAATTGTGCCTCCTCCACAATTGAGACTCCCCCCCCCCAAGTAGTCCAGCTCCCTTAAATTATCATACGCAAAGGAATCATAACCTGTATTGCTTATCACACTGGGCTACTCCTTCACAAAGGAATATAGGAGGCTGAGTAAGACCACTGGTCCATTTAACTCAGTATTTTCCATACTGACTAACACTGACTGTCCAGGATTTCAAACAGGGTTCTCTCCCAGCTCTACCTGAAGATGCCAGGGATTGAACCCGGGACGTTCTGCTTGCAAAGCACATGCTCTACCACTGAGCTGCAGCCATGCACATACTGTAACAAATCTGCTAGCCATACGATTTCCTTTTCCGCAGCAGAACTCTCTGGGTTTGTTTTCTTCGGGAGCCAAGTAAACACAATGTGCAACTGCCCTCCCTGCCATCCCATTCAAATTAATGTCAGATGGCTTACTAAAACGCCACATTTTTTCCGTCTCCCTGGAGAAATCTGTCTCCAAATGTTCTTTGGCCCTGAAAGGGTATAAATGGTTAAACGTCCTTCCTGGGGGATGCAGACCGTGGAACAAAGTGAAGTGGCAACGAGGAGTCGATTATCAGTAACTTCCGACACCATCCCTACTCACCCAGCTCCCTTTGCCTTGTAGACGTCAATGAGGTGGAAAATGAAAGGAATAATGCAGGTTTAAGAGACTAATAATCAGGTCACAGCTGATCCTGGTTCAGATCAGCTGACAGCTGGTGCCTCCAATTTCACAAGCCGTCCCACTTTCTGCTAGGGCCCAGGACTTGAGGATAGACTTCCTCCTCTCCCTCCCCCCCTCCCGCTTCAATTTATCCATTGCTGATGGGTGGGAGGGGGGAATCCACAATTAAAGCTGCAAATCCACCATGTTTTTCTGTGGAGGTCTGTGATATGCCAGCAATTTTAATCTCAGATTGTTGACTGTATTTGCTTCCTAGAACATATTAAATCTCCTTCTTTGACAGTTTCCCCCACCCTTGTGCCACCAGAGCGCCACATACTTTTTTTTTTTACTTCTCCCATTTTATTTCCCCCACTTCCTGCTCCCCAGCAGCCCAACCACCTCCCAAACCTAATCTCAGTGTTTGCTTGTTTTAGCTTCCCTAATCCTGTTGTCTCACAAATCTCTTCACCATAATCCTGCCTTTGTCTGTCAATACAATTTGTTTGCTGTGGGGATCCAGGGAGGGAGGGAGGGAGAACATGGCTAACATGGCTAGGAAAGGATGAAACTGCTGGGTTTAGTCAGGGAGCCTTAGCAGAAAAGTGTGTTTGCTCTTGTAGCCCTGCAAGGCTTTAGGCTGCAGGCAGCAACTGCAGTCATCTAAAAGTTTCAGGTTTCCAGGTCTCATGTTGGGCTCCAAAATCAATTGCTCATTGCAACAATTGCTTCTGCAGTGAAAGTAAAAACAAAAGCACAAAAAAACTAGGCCAGGTCTTAGAATAGCTAAAGTCAATTTAGGTGAGGCTAAAGTTGCCAGATTCAGTAGAGCAGTCTTTTCCAACCTGGTGCCCCCCAGATGTTTTGGATTACAACTTCCATCATCCCCAGCCAGTGATAACTGTTTCAGCTTCCAAAACATCCTGGTCATCCTTAGGTACCTGAGTTTGAGGAAACAGGAACCTGCCTTCTGTCAGTGGGTCATGGAGGTAGTGTGGGAAATTAAAAGAGTAGCTAGCTCAAGCTACCTGGCATTGCTTAGAGTGCTGAGATGGGGGTGGAGGGTGGAGAGGGAAGTTTGCAAGTCATAGCTAATTCTCCAAGGGAGTTGAAACAAGTTGGGGTGGGAAGGAACTTGGGCCTTTGAATTCTGGAGTTCAGAATTAATTTTCCTCTTTGATCACGCAAGTGCTGACATTTCAGAGAGTGTTTTAACACATGGCAATCAAGTGTCTCGGAGACTCTTGAGCTATTTATGGTATGTGTGGAAGTAGTTACAGTAAAATAGGAGAGCTGTGTGTGTGTGTGTGTGTGTGTTTTAATGAATGTACATTGCATCCGGTGTAGACTTTTATATGCATGTTGCAAACCAATCTAAGGAAAAACCAGTTTAAGCCTCACTTGTCAAAATGGCCTCAAATGGCTGTGAAGCTGACCCAGTTTTCCAGATAAGTCAGGAAACCTAGCCTTTTGTATAACTCTCTTCAAGTGGTGGAACAATCTGGTCTCCTATTAAAGGGACTCTCCTACCCCCTTTTGGTTGAAGACTGCATTGCAAAGATTTTGTACAAAGGGGCCTCGAGAGCTTATTCATTCCCAGTTCAGACTTAATGCTGAATGAGAGTGGGTTGGTGGCAAGTCAGCATGTTGACTGTTGCTATCAATTTATTAGGGGCCTGCAAGGAGTTAGGTCCTGTGCAAAAATTAAAATGTCATCCCAGGCCTGTGGGTTTGCATTTCAATGAACAAGGCACTCTAGGAAGGGAAAAGGGAGTGGGATAGGGAAACAAATGAGAACAAAATTGTTGGAAGGCTGAGATGGCCAGTATTACCTTTTTAAGGGCTAGGTGAATTTTTTGCATGCTGTTCATCAGACTCTCCCCAAGGTTCCAAGCACATGGTAGTGACTGCTTTGCTTCACAATGCTTGTTGAAAGCCCAGCACACGCCCAGAAATTGGCTGTCACCCTAGGGTCATATGAATTGGTTGTGGCTAAATGGTGCATTATTAACTTAATTGACATCAAGGGCAAGATTCCATATAGCTTCAGTAAAGGCAGGATTTCATCTTCCTGCACTGCCATTGCATAACCTTTTGTTAGCAAGCACAAGCATCTAGGTTTTGAGCCTTGAGAGGTATGCTAGCATGTTTTGGCACAGTTGGCATTCCATTATGTTTGATTATTTGTTATATTTGTATTCCACACCTAGCTGAGAAGTTTAGTTTATCTTCAAAATAACCTTGGCAGGGAATTTCAAGGGGGCAACCACATTAGTTTGTTACAGCCTCTAGCGCTGGATGGCTGGGCACAAGTCCAGCATCCCACAGCCTTGGGAGGGGAGCAGAACAACCCCCGGAGGTCCAGAGAACAAGTTGTCAGGTAGGACTGCTCCTGGACTCTCAATAGACCTGCCACTCGAAAGTTGATGTCTGATTGATGCATCTCAATTCCAGTCTCATCTTTGGAAAAAAAAATTAAATTAAAATGAGAGGCACATTGCTGGAAGCTTGGCTGCTGGTGCAGCACTATATTGTGTTTTCTTGCAGGAGCCATACACAGCCAAACCATGGGGCAGGGGAAATAGAAGGAGGAAAGCTTGGTGGAGCAGGGAGGGAGAAGATCAGTGTGGGTAGTTGTGGGGGAAGGGGTAGCCAGTCCAGATTAGCAAAGATGAGCTTGGAAAGCATCTTGCTTGAAGCGCCCCCCAAAATCAGACAGTTCCTCTTGTTTGTTACAACTTAAATGCCAAGTGATTTATTTTGGTATAAGCTGTTATGAACTAGAATCCAGTTAATCAGATGCACCTTTTGTCCTCTGGAGTCCACTAATTCAGACAATATCCTTTTAGTTCCATTGTTTACGTTTCTCTCTTTACTTATGAATGTAGAATATATTGCTACGTGCACCTCAGTTCTCTGAGTGGTGAAAAGTTCCAGAGGTGCAGTTGGCTCCTGCTTTATAACAAGAGCAATTCCAGAGGTGGAATGGCACAACCCAAAAGCTCCCCCTTTGGTTACTACAAGATGTACCTGAAAACAACCAGGAGAGAGTCATTGGCAGATCTCAGTGGTGAGGTGGGTCTGTTTAGCTGCCACAAAATATTGGCTGTGTCTCCTGTGAGCTACGTTAGGCTGAGAAACTGCGAGCTTACCCCTGGGGCTTTTGTGTATGGCTAACCAATGTTTTAAACTTAGGTTTTCCATGTCCCATTTCCCCTCATTCTAGCACCTATACCAACCACACTTTGCTCTCCAACTATTTGTAAGGGCAGGTGTAGGAACAGAGAGCTTTAAACAATTAATAAGCAAGGCAGATTTTGTGCAAGTTTTGCACCTCCTTTATTGCAGTTTGGGGATGGAATAATGAGGCAACGGGGCAGGGAGTGTGGGCGGGATGGAGGGTGGAAGAACTCTAAGAGATTCTTAGCAGGGATTTGACACCGAAAGCTATTTGGTCTACAGTGAGCTATTTTAATTGAAAGGTACAAAGACCCCTACAGGGTAAATGGGTTGTGTGGCAGGAAGTCCCCTTAGTCAGCTCCGCAAGAGGTGCGATCTATCACCCTTGAGCTGAAGGCGATGACACCCTCTAATACAAGCAGACGGAGCCTCAGGCCAACGTATACATTTATTATGAAGTGCATTAATAAATCATCATAAAAATAAAGCACACTTATCGCCGTTAAAAATTAATAGGAGACATTTGTCGTATCGACCTCACTCTTTTGCTAAGGCCCGGATGCTGTCGTGAAAGGCACAGCACCAGAAAGGAGTAGATAGCTACTCTGGCTAACCGATAGCCCTGTGACTTAGGGCTTCGAGCATTCAGGGTGGCAGAATTATTTAGCAGCCGGAATGATTTGGTGTAATTAGGTGTCAAAAGAAAACCTTCTGTCTGTGGGGACTCTGACCTAGGAGTACTGCTTATGTGTATTATTAGAGGGGCGAGACGGACAGGCAGTGATTTAACTGGATTAAGGTGAAGCCCTTTGCTGTTTCCGTTATTGTCAGAAAAGAGCATCGGAAGAGCTGAGATCATTTGGCCAATGACTGGACGGCTGTTCTGAATTTCAAGAGCTACAGCTCAGCCAGGATGCCACTGAGGTGGTCCCAAGGGTTTTTGCTTTTGTTGTTGTTGTTGGGATAGTTGCTGAGCTGGTTTAGTGTTCAATTTCATGTGTTGAAAAGTGGCTCCTGTTTTCTTCATCACCTTTGCCCTCATGGTCTTGGGCCTCATTTGACCTCTCTGATTGGCTGTGGGGGGGGGGCTGTGTATTTTTTGTTGTTGGATATGGCATCACTGAGGGTAAAGAAGAAGAAAGAAGTTGCAGGGGAATAAAACATACACAAATAGGAAAAACAGGGGTGCATACAAAGACACAATATACGGCAAGCAAAATACAACAAATTGTATTTGTTACAATGTACCCGCTATTACAAGGCATGTAGTACATATAAGTAGCCCTTAAGAATCATCAAAATAAGTACAATATTACAATTAATGATATATTTTCATTATCTCCTATGCAAGAAAATTATTGGAAGTGGTGCAGCAGCTGTAGCAAACAGGACTGGAGCCTGGTGATCCCAGTTTCGAAGAGAAACTCCTTCTTTGGC